TAAAAGATTAGCCAGGCATCATGGTATGCACTTGTAGTTCCAGCAACCTGGGAAGATCAACTGAGCCTGTGAGTTTGAGGTTGCAGTGAGCTGTGATCACACCACAGCACTCCAGCTTGGGTGACAGAGTGAGACCCTGTCTCTAAAAACAAACAGACAAAAATAACTAAATAATACATAAAATTTATCTGTATAGTGTAATGAATAGCAAATAGGTGCCAGAATAACCCCTTCAATGTATGAAATAGAATATTACTTAGAAGTCCCCTGTGCACCCTACGTTTAACTCAAGTTTGTCCCTCAGCTGGAAGAGGTAAAACCACTTCCTCAAATTTCCTGCTGAATTTTCCCTTACAGTTTTTTTTTTTTAGCATTTGCACAAATGCTGCCTGTTTATGAACTTCATTTTGCTTATTTATTTGTTTATGTCAGAGTCTTACTCTGTCGCCCAGGCTGGAGTGCTGTGGTATGCTCATGGCCACCATAGCTTCAACCTGCTGGGTTCAGACAATTCTTTTGCCTCAGCCTTCCAAGTAGCTGGAACTACAGGTGGGTGCCACCTTGCCTGGTTAGTTTTTTGATTTATTGTAGAAATGTGGGTCTCGCCTAGTTGCCCAGACTGGGGTCTCAAACCCCTGGACTCAGGCAATCCTCTCACCTCGGCCTCCCATGACAGGCGTGAGCCACTGCACCCAGCTGAACTTTCTAGAAATAGAATCATACTGCAATCTGCGTCTTTGTCAGCATTGTGGCAAGGTGCACACGAGTTATTGTCTATGTTCCTTCATATTCCACCTTGCATGTTATTCCACAACTGATTTCATCCATCTTCCTGTGGATGGACACGTGAACTGCTTTCAGTTTGGGGCTCTTCTGAACATTGCTGCTGTGGACATTATTTTTATTTATTTATTTGAGTTGGAGTCTCACTCTGTTGCCCAGACTGGAGTGCAGGGGCACATTTCCAGCCACTGCAGCCTCGACCTGCTGGGCTCCGGCAATCCTTCCACCTCAGCCTTCCAAGTAGCCGGAACTACAGGCACGTGCTACCATGCCCGGCTAATTTTTGATTTATTGTAGAGACGAGGTCTCGCCAAGCTGCCTGGGTAGGTCTCGAATCCACGGACTCAGGCAATCCACTCGCCCTGGCCTCCCAAAGCGCTGGGATTACAGGCTGAGCCACCAAGCCCATGCGTGGACATGATTTTTAAAGACATAGACTCTTGCTCTGTCACTCAGGCTGGAGTGCAAATGGCACAATCCCAGCTCACGGCAGCTTCCACCTCCTGGCCTCAAGTGATCCTCCCATCCTGGCCTCCGAAAGTGCCGGGATTACGGGCATGAGCCACCACACCCGGCTCCTGGTTGTCTCTTAAGCATCTTGTTTGGATTAGGATCCAGCCAGAACCTGTACATGCACCTGGTGGACGGAGCCACGGGTGACCAGGATCCCTCTGACTCATAGAAGGAAGCTCAGATCCAGGCGAGCTGTGGGGTTGGGACCTATTTTGAAGGCTGGGCTGATGGAATTAGCTGATGGGCCAGACATGTTGTGGGGAGAGAAAGAGGAGAACAGCAGGAAAGAAAGAGGGAAGGAGGTGGGGGAGTCGGAAGTCGGGAGGTCAAAGGTGAGTTAAGGATGACCCCGCAGTCTGGGCCATAGTCGCTCCAGGGGACCTCAGATTTCTCTCCAGTTTCCTCTTAGTCTGCACACACTGTGCCATTTTCCAGGCACATTCATAGCCTGGTCTGGGTCTGCTGTGTTTGGCTGCTTGCTTTGTTCCACTGGTTGATCTGTTTTGGGTGTATACACTCCTTGGAAACTCATTCGAGTTCATTTCACACAAACCTTTTTAGCTATCTGTTTTCTCTGAAATACAAAATGAGTTTTTTTGCCACGTGATTATTCTCAGGTTGCTACCTGCCGAGTCCCCACGTTCACCGACAGAAAGTCTTAGAGTTCGAAAACATACTGCTCATCTATTGTTTAGAACTGTTGCTTGATTCTTGTCTCAAGTACACTGTTGCTTGTGGAAAAAATAATACCATTTTCCTCCCTGAAAACCACTGGGGAATCAGTTCAAAAAATGTTGACCGGGCAAGGGTGTGGTGGTTCACGCCTGTAATCCCAGCACTTTGGGAAACTGAGGCGGGAAGATGACCTGAGCCCAGGAGTTTGAGACTAGCCTGGGCAGCAGGGCAAGACCTCATCTCTACAAAAAATAAAAAAAAATTAGCTGACTGTGGTGGCACATGGTTGTAGTCCCAGCTACTCAGGAGGCTGAGGCAGAAGGATAGCCTGGACCCAGGAGGTTGAGGCTGCAGTGAGCCATGCGCATGCCACTGCACTCCAGCTCAGGCAACAGAGTGAAATACGAACTCCCCCCCAAAAAAAAAGTTGACCAACAATTTGTCCCCTACTTTCCCCCAGCAGTTGACAATATATGGAACACTATGATGGGATCAAATTGATACACTGAATTGGTGATTTTAATACACCAATCAACACGTACACATTGAATAAACGTGTGTGGCCAATGTGTACGTATTTGGGAAATTTTAATTCACTAAATGCATAAGTTCATGAAACAATTTTTTTCCAAATATTTACATAAATATATTCATTTACTAGGGCTGCCCTACCAGAGATTGAGTGGTTCAACAGAAATTTATTTTCTCCTCGTTCCAGAGGCCAGAAATTCAAGATCAAGGTGTCATCAGGGTTGGTTCCTGGTGAGGCCTCTCTTCCTGGCTTGCAGATGGCCGTCTGCTCAATGCATCTTCACAAGGAAGAGACAGAGAGAGAGAGAAAAAGAGGGAAGAGGAGAGGGGGAGAGAGGGAGGGAGAGAGAACGAGCACCCTGGTTTCTCTTTCTCTTCTTTTTTTTTCTTTTATTCTAAAGTAAAATGATATAAAATTTGTTTATAAGATAATATTAGGCGGCAATTGTAAATATGTTCCATTTATATGTATTTACGTATAAATACATATGTAAGTTTGACTGCAAATAAGAAAGAACGTAATTAGTAGTTTGAAAAAGTAGAAATTTATCTCTCTTACTGCCAGAGTCCAGCTCCAGCCGGGTTCAGGGTACCCTAAAGGTGGAGACGGTGTCGGCGATTGGGGGGAAGAAGAAAGAGAGAAAGAGAGAGAGAGAAAGAAAGAGACTGGACCCCTGTCTAGTGCAGAAGCCTCTTCCTCTTCTTGTAAGGACACTGGTCCTATGGGGACTCAGGCCTCAGTCATGACTTCATTTAGCCTTAATCACCTCCGTAAAAGCCATGTCTCCAAATATACTCACATTGGTGGGTAGGGTTTGAACATACGGGGAAATATAATTTGGTCCATGACGATAACTATGAGTTTACGTTATCTACATATGTAGAAGAATGTTGTCTAATAGATTTAAGGAGGGCCGGGCTCGGTGGCTCAGCCTGTCATCCCACGCCTTGGGAGGCCAAGGTGAGTGGATTGCCTGAGCCCGCGGGTTTGAGACCCACTCGGGCAACTTGGCGAGACCTCATCTCCACAATAAATCAAAAAATCAGCCGGGCGTGATAGTGCATGCCTGTAATTCCAGCTACTCGG